CAAAGCCCAAGACCAAACGGAAACCCTAACTAGGTGCGGCCAGTAAGGAAACTGAGCCTAAATACACAACAGACGTGACCAAACAACTGAGACCTAAACATAAAATATAACAGAACAAAGCCCGACGTATCGCGGCTAAGCAATAAGAAAGCCTAAAGAACCAAGGCGGATATTTAGGATTATAAATATCTTGGAGATGTACGGCTCAGGCAGATAACAAAGAACTGCTGAGAAATTGTTACCGGACGGGGAAGTAAAAATCGCCCACATAGATTAATAGACCAAGCGCTATTAATATCATACACACCAGAAAAGTACAGTCAAACCTTGTCACAGCGTATGAACGGGACATATAAGAAAATTTTATTTAAAATCCGTTGTGATAAGATTACTAATCTTGCCACAACGGATTTTTATATGTTTTTATATGTGAAGCAAAAATTTTAAAAATCCACTATGACAAGAATTTAATTATAATCCGCTGTGACAAGGTTTGACTGTAATTGCAGTTGAGAGTAAGCTACCAAGGGGTACTCGGCCACGGCTGTATAAATAAAATACCATCATAAGTAAAATATTGAGATTTACTGTGAGGTGCGGATTTCGATCTCACAGTAATAAGGAGACCTTGATGGTACAAGAAAAATATTTACACAGGTCTATTTGTTAACATTTATTTATTAAAGTGTAAGTGCAATGTGATATTATATCCTTTCATCATGAATTGAACAAAATTTATTATATAAATAAATAAATAGCTATATATCAACTACAAATAAATATCATCATTATTATTGCACTTTTGAAACATAAAGATCAATTCCAGGATCAGGTCTAGTAATAAAACCAATTTTCCTTTTGACCTGGAAACCTTCAACTTCCCTAAATCTAAATTTTCTTATTAAAGAGGATAAAATAATCTTAAATTCAATTGTGGCTAATTTAGAACCAATACAAGATCGTGGACCTGTTGTAAATGGTAAATAGGAATAATTATTTATCTCAGATGTTAATTTTGGATTTAACCATCTTGATGGTTCAAATTCATCATGATTTTCTCCCCAAATTTTTGAGTCATGGTGAACTGCATATATTGATAATACAATTGGTGTGTACTATTGATTAATTAAATGATATATACAAGAAGCAGAAAGAAAAAAAAATTAAGTAGATGTTATATATTTATAAATTAATAGATGTTAAAATTAGAATTAAATAAATTTAATACTTTTGGAATAAAGTATCCATCAATTGTTGTATCAGTTTTACAAGTTCTAGATACAGCTGGACCTAATAAATATAAATATAAATAATAATATGGTATTAATATATATGCATATATATACTTACACTTATTATACACATTCTTAATATAAATAATTGTATAAATATATTAATTTTTCATCTTTTATAATTATAATAAAAAGTACCTGGTGGAATGAGTCTCAGAGTTTCTTTGAATACACAATTTAAATATTCTAAGGAATTTATTTTATCAAATGATGCTTCCAAATTAGGATCTGGTAAAGCTTCCAATAATTCTTGACGAAGACAATCTTGAACCTCTGGATGCTTGGCAAGTAAGTATAATGCCCATGAAAGTGCAGTACTTGTGGTTTCATGACCAGCTGCTAGAAATGTCATGATCTATCACACAACAAATAAATTAAAACTAAATAAAATAACAAAAACAAATATATAATAATAATATATGTATGTGTGTAGTTAATTTACTTGATGTTTTAATTCTAATTCAGAAATTTTTTCTTCTGGTGGCAAATCTTGATTACTATTGATTAATAAAGACAACAAATCTTTTCCTTCCAATTTTTTTAATTGTGCCTGTTTTTGTTTTTCCTTAATTAGATGCAAGGAAATTTTTTCAGTGACTTTAACAGCATTGATTAATCTTAAATTTGCTTCAAATGGCAAAGATCTAATCCATTTGAATTTATCTGATATAGCCATTAACAAGAAATTCTTGAATGTTAATTTAGGATTAAAAAGCTCTTCATAAGCAGTTGCTAATTCATTCTCAGAACTAAGTGAATTGAATTCATATTGAAATCCTATTCATAATAAACAATGTATATATATATATATATGAGCAATAATATATTGAGCTAATGTAAAAAAATATTTTTAAAACTTACCAACTAAGCCAATAATATCTAATGCAGCATTTGAAATATGAGCAGGACTAGAAAATAGTAAAAAGGTATTTGTTTATATTTATTAAATTTAATTTTATAGTAATTAACTGATTATAAAAAAAGGAATAATAGATTTCGACCAGTAGAAGTTTTGTTAAATCTACTTTGTGCATTACATTTACAACAGGTTCAACAATATATATTTACAACAGTCAATGGTAGCAATATGAATAATATGGCAAGTTCCAACAAACTTTCAAGTGAAATACATTTCAACAAATCTAAGCAAAAATAATAAATGATAATATTGAAATTTTAATATTAAGAGCTAGAAGATTGATTTTATTTTTTAAGTCACCAAAACAATGGAAAAGACTTGGAGAAGTTTAAAAACAATTAAATTATCCTCATATTCTCAAACCAATACTGGATGTAAAAACTCGATGGAATTTCATTTATAAAACTAGTGTTACAACCTGAATTGTTAATGGATTAATGTTATGAACACATTAATATTAATATTAATATTAAAAATATTTGAACCCATTAAGAATCTGTTAGGTTAATCCATTAAAATTAAAATAGCAAATATTATTGG